GCTGAGGTTCTGCTCTTCTGCAGCTGAGGTTCTGCAGCTGAGGTTCTACAGCTGAGGTTCTGCTCCCCTGCAGCTGAGGTTCTGCAGCTGAGGTTCTCCAGCTGAGGTTCTGCAGCTGAGGTTCTGCGGCTCCTTCCTGTCATGTGTTGAAGGCTCATCGTCCCACTTCTCTGAACACTCATGAATGAGCAGACACTGCAGAGCTTTCTGAAGAAGTCTGGACACACGCACGCACGCACACGCACACACACCGCAGGTGTAACTGTTGCACCTGCTGTGCAAACTAATAATAAACATCAACAAAAAAGGTTGAATCATGTCATCTGGACTTCGTTTTTTTTGTTAAAAAGAAACGTTTCGCCCCTCGTCCAATAATAATACAACGGCGTAATACAACATTTTTTGCGTAAGGAAGCGTTGTAAACTAGTCTATTTTTGTTTTGTCTAGCTTGCCATACTGTGCGTGTCTGCGCGCGTGTGTGCTGGCTGCAGCTCTGTATCAAACTGCGCTTTGAAAACACAGCATGATTCCTGTTTTATGTGTTTTTACTGTTAGTATGTTGGGCCGTGTGCGCGTGCGCCCCTCCAGTGTCAGTGTGTGGATCTAAGGAGGCTTCGCTCTCACTTTTTCTTGGAGCTGATGGCAACAAGCTTGATGACCTCACCGCAGCTCACGGTCATTGGCCTGAAGACCTGGAGCCTTTCAGCCAATCACACGCCGTTATGATGACGTATAGCCCCAGCAGCAGCTCTGATTGGACGTAAGGGGCGGGACTAAGGCGTTCTCTGATTTTCGGAGCCTTTATGATTGGCTGATAGGGATTGACGAACGTGTGGATTAAATGGAATATATTTTTTTAGTTTGTTGAGTATTTATTTATTTACTTGTATTTTCTAAGTAGTTTAGAAAATATTAGCTCACTAAATAAGTCAGTTTAATTTGATCTAAAAATGCCATTACGTTGCGTTTTGGTATTCTCGCGTTTTTTTTTTAAAGCTAACTAAATCTATCTGCATCCTTGTTTAAATGTTTGTAAACTGAAAAAAAAAAAAAACCGATGAAATCGCATAAATAATTTCCAGCTACAGCTCATTCCTGTATAAAAAAAAGTCCCACAATTTCAGGGCCTCCCATTGGTCGCTTCCAACAGCTGTTCTCTGTTTTCCCACACTCTGATTGGCCGTTTTTACCTGTCGCTCAAATTCACTTTGACACGTAGCCCCGCCCACGTCTCTTCCTGTCGCGCTTTCCTATTGGCTACTGTAATCGTTCTCGCGCCGCCATTGGCCGCTCGAGCTGGTTGTCAAGGCTCCGGGGCTTCATTCACCATTTTGCGACTGTAGCGTAGATTGTACGGAGGCAGTAGTTTTTTTTTTCACCTCCCTTTAAGTTGCCTCTCCGGAGAAACATGACCGGTCGCTAACGGGCAGCCGCGGACTTCAGGCCACCGTGCCCTACTTTACCCGGCGGTGCGAGCGGAGGGACACCCGGGGGAGCCTGTTCATTAGCTCCGGTGAGTAGAAGCAGCGGCGCTGCCGTCAAGCTAGTTGTTTACTGCGGCTACAAACTGTTAGCAGCTCGTCTGATCAGCGGAGTTTCACATTTTGTCGGGCTGGAATCACGGTTGGGGGGAAAGGGAGCGGTGCGGCTTGAAAAACTTTCCCACTTGAAATGAAACCAGCGCCATGACGGTTGTACGTGTCGGTGTGTAACCTCCAGCCTCCTCGCCGTCTCATTTTCTTCCTGTTTTTTCTCAAAGTATCTTCGTCTCGTGTTTGTGGGCCTTCCCGTTGGGACTTTTCGTTGCAGCTCGACAACACCAACTGGTAGTTGTTCCTGGACGGATTCACCCCCTGAAGAGCGGGGACTTTTCCAACTGTTTCTCTTCGTGTTCTGGGAACCCGTCCAGGGCAGAAGCGGGGCTCAGAAAGCCCCCCCTCCGTTCAAACCGGTAATTTCCCGGTAAAACTCCGCGGAGAGGATTTCCAAGAGCTGCGGCCTGGTGTGGGCTCGGCCCGGAGAGAAGACTGGCTGTAGCTGCGGTGCTTCGAGGTCCTGGCTCGGCTACAGCCGGGGTGACGAGGTCGGGCGGGCTGTTTGCGTGTTCTGGGCCTGGTCTGGATCAAGTTAACAGCTGTTATCTCGTGGATTATCGTGATGATCGTGCGTGTTATTTGCACGCCCCGGCCTGCTGCTGCTCATCTGTCTGCTGTAATCCCGGCATAAAAGTTAAAAACAACAAATAAACAAACTTTTAAACTCCATCCAGCTCGGTCCGCACGACACAACTGATTTATGAGTATACTACAAGGCTGCAGATATTATTTAACGCTTGCGATGTGTAATATTATTGTTTAATAGTGGGATATTAATTACCACAGCTGTGAGCAACATCTGGCTGGTGGGCCAAAGGTGACAATCCCCCCCCCCCATATAATAATAATAATAATGTGTTATGTGTTGTCATCATTGTCCTTAATTGAAAAGAAAAAGGACTGAAATAAATTGATGAAATCCAATATTTTATAAATTAAAGGGAGAAGTAAATTACATTTGGATTAAGATGAGCTAAATCAATTTTATTTATTTTATATATATATTGAAGTTGTGTTTGTAAAGCTAAACTAGATCTTCCAGACACCAAAAAGCAAACTTGTAAAATTTTCTCTGCATTTTCAAGATAAAAAAACAAAATAAATAATTGTCACAAAACCAGATTACAGAAAGTTTGTCTCTTATGTTCTTAGAGAGTACTGGGAAGACTTTTTTTTATCGATCATGGCAACTATGCTACAAAAAAAAAAAAAAAAATCCTGTAAATGTCTTAAAAAATATCAGCTTAATTAAAAAAAAATTTTTACAGTTCTTTGTGCGGCGCTGGGATTACTTCAAATATCTCAATTTGTCCCTCTTGTCATCCAGAACTAATGTGGGCATCAAGGTCAACAAAGGTTCACTTTAATAATTAAACTTATTATTATTATTATCTAATTATCCATCCATCATCTTTACTCGCTTCTTCCTTTTCGGGTCGTGGGGGGTCACTGGTGCCCATGTCCAGCCATCACTGTGTGAGAGGTGGGGGACACCCTGGTCAGGTCTCCAGTCCATCACAGGGACACATGGAGACAAACGAGACAAACCATTCACTCTCGCTCCTATAGGGACAATTCAGAGTTACCAATCAGACTAACATGCATGTTTTTGGTCTGTGGGAGGAAACCGGAGCACCCGGAGAAAACCCACGCATGCACGGAGAGAACATGCAAACTCCACACAGAAAGGCCCCTGGACCGGGGTTTGAACCAGGGACCTGCTCGCTGAGAGGCAGCAGCTCTACCAGCTGCACCACCGTGCTGCCTCCCACTTGAGTCCAGAGAAGCTCAAAACATAAATTAACAGCAGAATGAGCTTTTTGGTGAGTTTTTCACAACACAAAACCTGAAATGTGGCGATAATTAAAGGGAAAATAAACGATTTTCTAACATTTTAAGATTAGTTGCTAAGAAGCACATGAATAAAAAGTGTTACAGCAAAGAAATAAACACAATTCCTTATTTTTAATGCTACGTTTATAAACACAAAACTAGAGAAACTAATGTTTAAAACAATCTTCCAAAGGGACTAATTTCCGTAGAAAGTTTTTTTTAAAGGTCGTTTAATCAGAGAATCAAACAAAAGTACTGGCTCTAAAATACAAACAGATTTTGGTATATAAGTTTTTAGGAAATAAAAATTTATCCCAACAAAGAACTTGGAAGCCACTGGTTCCCAGACGTTTCAGCTACTGACCCATGAAATAAAATCAAACGGACAAAGTTTTGTGACACATCTATTGTTGGTTTATTTTACAAACTTGGTTAATAACCTCATTAAACGAGGTGATGACGACACAAACAGTCCTAACAACTGTTCACTTTCATTAATTATTGCTGTTTTTTGTTCTTTGTAACAATTATGATGAAAACGCAGCATAAGTGATGATTTTTAAATATAAACTAATGTCTGAGAATTATCTTAAGACTCCAACTTGGTGTTTCACAGCCCGTATGACAAGTTGTCAGCCATTAAATCCACCTGTTGATGCTCAAACACTGACTGACGGATGTAAATGCTGTTATCGTTTGTATTTAAAAGTAAAAACCGGGAACAAAGTGTGTCTTTGTGACCGGCTGCTGGTGACAGAGGATAAAGATCTAATTTAAATTGATTATTTGCTGAATCATCTATGATTAAACACGACACCAGTTCACATAACTTAATCTCTGTTTTTATGCTTGTAGATTGTTAATTGGTAAAGTGGCTTTAATTGGTCAGTTTTTTTTAAATAACCAAAAAAGCAGCTTAAAGTTAGAAAAAAAACTTGAATTGAGGATTATAAGAAAGTCTGTTTGCTTCGAAGGAAAATGTAAATAAATCAGAGCTGTCCGAGTTGATCGACTTATCCTAACTCGTTATGTGCGACTTGGCTGGTGGAAGTTTAGCCAAACTGAATTATTCATCCAGAAAAGCAGCTGTTCGTGTTTTTCTCACCTCATGTGACTTGACGCAGCTCGTGTATTAACGTCAGCTGATAAAAGAGCACAAGTGGTGTTCTTCAAATTAAATCTGATTAAACTTCTTACCCTGCTGAACATAAAACACTCCGCTCGCTCCATATTTCACCCGAACGAGCGCGCGTTGCATCAGTTCGCCCTTAAGCTGTTATCGTCCGGCTCCGACGCCAGCTGTTGTACTCTGCACTACTGAGCAAACACGTGTAGCATACCTCCATCGTGACCAAGTAAGGCCAGCTGCCAAATTATTTTATGACAGAAGCTCCACGCTTGTCCGTCCTAAATATGGATTTACATAGAGCCCGAGTCTGTGAGCTCACTGTGTCATCACCGCTGAAATGTTTGCTGTGTGGCCTTGAGACGGGCGGCACTCGTCTCTGAAAGTGGATTTCTTTCTCGCCGATATGATGCGTCCCATATTAAAAGGATCTGAATGAATGTGAGCCTTCGCAGACAAACAGGAAAGCAGCAAAAGAGAAGAGACGAGCTGAGACTGGTAGGAGGATGGATGCATGGATGGATGGATGCATGGATGGATGCCTCTCTGTCCTCTTTACATGTTGATAACGTGTCCCCACTTCTCTGGAGGCTTGTGCAGGTGATGTTTACGTACAGTCATCACAGGAGTAAAATTAAGTTTGAATTTATCGCGGCTTTTCTCTGATCCATATAGGCTCAAATATTTCCATGCACGCCCACTAATATTTGGTCAAACATCCCCAACCCAGTGAGATCCTACCAGTAAGGAAACTAGCTGCTGCAGTCAATCCATCGCTAACAGGAAGTTAATAGGTCAAGTTAAGACATTCCAGAAACCTTCAGCACCACTTAGTAAAATATTAAAGTAACTGTATGGACATATTTCAGCTTCTACTTATCATTTTGACACTATGTTAGCGAAAACCCACAATAAAATAATTTAATTTGACATTCTTGCCCGTGTTGAGTGCATGTAAACTTTTGACTGCAGCCGTTAACAGTCAGAACTTGCAGGAGCTTTGACAACAAACAAACAAACCTCGTTAAATAACAAACAAGTCATCGCAGTCGATCTGTTTTACTCTCCAAACGGGGACAGAAGTGTGAAGGACGCTCTGAATGAGTCCTGCGTGGTTCGACAATTATTCTGCTTTTCTGCATGATTGCAGCACAAAGTGAAAATGGACACTAAGTGGAGATGAGAGGTGAAAATCGATATTTGCAGTCAGGGTGGTGGTGGTGGTGGTGGGGTTAGGAGGAAAGTGTAATAGTAGCAAAGATGGAGGGAGGAATAAAGTAACGGGAAGTTAGGTAATGGTCTTCCACAGGAAATGGAGTTTGTAGGGGCGGATTGACTCCACTTTGAAACTCTCAGATAAAGGTCGCCTCGGAGAGAGAAAAGGGAGGGTTTCAGAATGTGAAGGAGGAATTCCCCCGCCTCTTCTGCCCCGGCCAAGAAATGGTGTGTGAGCTAGGAGTGCATGCAGAGCGGAGGCTTGTCTGGGCAAATCGCAGAGCACTCCTCACTATTTCCATGTTGCGTTGTAAGCCTACTTTGTGTTTACCCTACAATATGGCCTCCTGTTGTCTGTGTGCACCTTCTAAGGGCGCAGGCTTTGCGTAACGTGAGTAGGACCTGTTATGTAATGAATATGCAGATTACTATTACAATGGTGCATTATTTAGCACATAAATAAAATTCAAAGGCTAGCATAGACGGTTAATCCCAAAGTTTTGCGTTAAGAATATGTGTTGGGGGCGACTCTTAGCTACTACTTCATCAAATTTTAGCTCAATGTCTATAAATTTGACAGAGTTACAGCCATTTTTGTGCTGGCTAATGTTGATTAGCTTTGATGCCCATCTTGAATCTGGTTGCCTCCAAATGTTGACCAGTTGTACATGTACATCCAATGATTAGTTTAAGAAAAGTTCATTAAAATATGTCCTGTTGTGCATTAGATATTTTGCTAACAGACAGACATGGGCAGAAACAGTATTGCTTCCCCGTCAGTGGACGGTAATACTTATTTGCTGCCAGCTCTAGATCCTACTTTATTATCAGAAGTGTCGCACTTTAATGTATCACGTTTTTTTTTCTAGTCTGTTCGTATTGTGTACAGCATAAAGGCTTCGTTTGTGTCTGAATGCCTAATGAGTAACCCACACTGTCTGTTTCCTTCTTTCTTTTAGAGTCTCAGGAACAAGGTGGGCAAGTGCTGAAGTCACGCAACCAAAGACGAAACAGGATGAGAAAGAGATGCCCTGACAGAGGAATAAAATAATCAGGAAGAACAAAACGAGGAACGCCACGGAGATTCTCTGGGATAAGTAAATAAATAAAAGGAGTTGTTTGAAGAAAAAGGCAAGCAAGATAAAAAAAACAGAAGATGAAGCCGATTAAAAAGCAGGGCAGGCGCTCTCCTCAGTCCACCCGGGCCAAAGGAGGGAAGCGTCGTGGAGCTGGGGACACCTCAGATGGAGGAGAGAAGAGGGACTCAGACGAGAACAGAGACAGAAGCAGATCTCCTCAAAACCGAACTCCCCTCTCTTCTTTTTCCTCTGGTTCACACTCGGAGTCCTCTCAGGCTGGTTCGGTGAGGCTGAGGGACATGTCAGACTGCGAGGGCCTGGCGGAGACGACCGTATCAGTCATGATGGACTCTGGGAAGTTGTTGACGTCCTCTGACGACAGGTCCGGGAGGTCAGCTCTGAGCGGCGGAAGCAGCAGCAGCCACTGTGACAGCGGGGGTAGCAGTTGTAGCAACAGTAGTACGCCGAGCGCCAACAACAGTCCGAACCCTGCCTCTAGTCGCAAAACGGCCACCTTCAAGGCTCGTGTTCCCAAGAAGAAGTACACCTCTGAACACTGCTCAACAGCTAATCACTGCAACCCCACATCCACTACACCCCCTCCTCCATCCCTGATTAGCGGGGTCCTCAACCAGTCGCCCACAAGTTCAGGAGGAGGCAAAGCCAGCATCTCACATTCTGAGGGTCCCCAGGGTTCTTCGGGACCTCCAACACTGTCCCCCAGAGGTGAGAGACCTGGTGAAGGGTCGATAGATGCAGAACGAGTGTCCCCCAGCCCCTTACCCCGCTGTTCCTCAACAGACACTGCCAGTGAGCACTCAGCAGACTTGGAAGTTGTTGGTGACACCGTGTCACAGACATCCACACGCTCAGCACCCAGCCTGTCAGATGCGCTGTCGGACACCTTGGCTAAAGGGTTAAAAAATCAGCGCATCCTTGCTCGACAGCTTAAGAAACCAAGTTCTGAAGAAGGTGGAGGCGAAATGAGAGATGAATGGAGGAGTTCAGGCTCTGTCTTCCGGGCTGGTGTGGTGCGGAAGGTCAGCGGTGAATTTGGGTGTCTTGAGGTTCAACTAAATGGGGAAAAAACACTTTGCCGTTATCCTTATCGACATGACAGCCCCCCAGGGGTGGTAGACATAGTCCTAGATGCACAGCCTCCTGGTGTCCATACAATACCCATTGGCACACGTGTCTGTGTACCATTTGGCAATGATGACGGCAGTGAGGGCCAGTGGCAGTGGTACCGGGAAGGTGTGGTGACTGAGGTAGACACACATCCCGCTGTGGCCAACCGCTATCGTGTCCTCTTGTCTGAAGGAACGCCTCACTCTGTAGCTGACGTAGACAGCAGAGGTGCCACTCAGGCAGTATGGGTGTCCCGGCAAACTCTCCGGCTTCTGGTTCCACCGTGGGATCTCGATTTGCCCCCTAGTGGGGGTCACGAAGGAGAAGAGGGCGTCAGAGAAAAGGATGAAAAGAGTGGAGAAAGGGAAGATCTAGACGTGGAGCAGGAGGTGTGTCGCTTGAGTCGAGGAATGACCCCTATTGTTGGTTCGGTGTTCAGAAGGGACATGTTGTACCCAGGAAACCCAGTTTCCTCCTCTACAGGTCACAGCATTACGTCCCCAGTTACTCCGTCGGTGCTCAGCTTGGCTCCCTGTAGAGAGTGGGAAATTGATACAGATTTGGAGAGAGAGAGGGAACTTCAGAGAAATCCAAGGAATGACAGAGAAAGAGAGAACAGCACAAAACCACCACAGCACCATCTGTACATGCCACTGACCCCTGAGGAAGACATGGAGGTGTCCCACTTTAACATGGTTTCAATGGGGGCACTCCTACCCGGTGCCAAACCTATGACAGTTTCCCAGATTGTCTCTAAGCCCCCATCAGGCTATCTCAACTCCCACCTTCCTGTTGTGCGGAACATCGGAATCTCTTCCCACCTGACCCTGAGCCACCCTCCTCCTTCAAGTGTCCTGTTAGGTCTCGATGCTACAAGTGCACCTGCCGGTGCTGTCATCACTGCCCAGCAGATCCCTCCCCTCTCTCAAATCCCCTCGTCTGCTACCTCCTCCAGAGTAGAGAAAACCCCTGGAGGGGGTTCTGCCAGTGGCGGAGGTGGGTCTGGATCTGGTTCAACCTCCTCCTCTTCTTCACGCTCCCGCACTCCACTCACTGCTGCCCAGCAAAAGTACAAGAAGGGAGATGTGGTGTGCACGCCAACGGGCATTCGAAAGAAGTTTAATGGGAAGCAGTGGCGAAGGCTGTGCTCCAGGGAGGGCTGCTCCAAAGAGTCCCAGAGACGGGGATACTGCTCCCGCCACCTCTCCATGAGGACAAAGGAAATGGAGGCCAGTGGAGGAGGGCGGGAGCGCAGCGGAGCCAGCAGCACCGGGACTCTGACACCATCCGACCTGCGATTGGGCGGAGGGAGAGCCAGCTCAGAGTTTGACTGGGACGAGACGTCACGAGAAAGCAGCGAGGCCAGCAGTCGTGGAGGAGACTCTCGCCCCCGCTTAGTCCTTCCTTCCCTGCTACCCCAGGAGTTCAACTTCGACGAGTGTGAGGCAGCCACCATGCTGGTCTCCCTGGGTGGCTCTCGTTCTGGCACACCGTCATTCTCCCCCATTTCAAACCAGTCACCATTCTCTCCAACACCATCACCCTCACCCTCTCCGCTGTTTGGCTTCCGACCCGCCAGCTTCAGTCCTATCACTGCCCCTGCCTCTCTTACTCCGCGCCGCAATCGGCAGCTTAGCGGCACTAAGATGAGTACACCAGGTTCTGAGAGAGAGCGCCACCTATCAGGAATTGTACCATCTTTACAGAACAACCTCACTTTTACAGTCCCCATGAGTCCCAGCAAGAGAAAGCTCGACACTTACCCACCCCCTCCCCTGCCTGCAGTTCAGGATTACCAGACCAAACAGGACCAACAGCAGCTGATGGGTGTAGGGGGTGGCATCATCGGAGACCCGGCTGCCTTTAGAGTTCTCTCCCCTCACAGTCAGCCCACAACTCCATCTTCGCTGTCCTTCCCACGTCCTCGCAGCGCCACCAGCAGACCCTCCTCCTCCGCTGCCTCCACACCCCCGCCCATGCTGGTCTCCCCCACTCCTCCTTCCCCGTTGTCTCAGGAACCCTCCCCACGCCGCATCGTTCCCCTCCGCGACTCCCCAGTCATAGTCCGCAACCCAGACGTCCCCCTGGCCAAGTTCTCAGATGGCCCATTGGCGAGAAGAGAAAGAAGCAGGTCAAGGGACCAGAACCAGCCTCAGCACTCAGTTCCCCCAGGCCTGCAAGCCCCCGTCCCCATCAACGGGGCCACGACCAACGGAGCAGTTCTCCTGCGGAGCCCCACGTCCAATCTTGTCCTGGTTACCTCCAGTTCGGTGAGAAACTTTGTTTTTGTCCTACATGATCACATCAGCTGGAGTTAAACTTTTAGGGTTTTAGGTTTTAATATGTCACAACTCATTTCATGTCAGAGCAGATTTGTCAAAGTCAAATAATAATTATCCTTTGATGTACAAGAATAATACGTTCTAAAATTATAATGCCATATTTTATTTGTTATGAAGTCCTTAAAGCGTTCTTCAAAACAAAAACATGAAACATCCAGGCTACTTTTTTTATGAAACCCAAAACTTTACTAATCATAATATGCAGAAAAAAATAATTGCTGTTGTGACTTTCTGCGTATAATCTCACTTAAATGTTTGGCTTATTTTATAATATTCTTTATGCACAATAATAAAAAAAAAGACATGCAACTTTAGCTTCTTACTGACATTACAAACATGTAATTTGTCCATGTAGCAACAACTGGACAGATGATCGAGGGTAACTAAGATTCAATTTCTCAAAATTGTAACAGTTAAACTTTTGTTATTGTTAGGTACTTAAAAGGTTAATATTCCTTGAAGGAATACAAATGGCTCACAAACTTTCATTCTGGAGTTTCAAACAGAAATTATGTTTCTATGTTGAAAAATGATGAAATTATGTCCGTTTTGGTCAAATCCTGAAAATATTGTGCATGACATTGGACAATGTGATAAGATCTTAATAATATCTGATCGGACATCTTGTAAAATAGCAGCTGCTGTTTTAAGTTGTCACTTTCGAAGAAACAAGAGTTTTCCTTTAAAGTCTGGGAAGACGAACTAAATATTTTTGTTTCTTTACATAAATTATAAATATCTTTACCGTGTTTTGTCCCAGTCCCTGACTCCAGGCACCGCAGGTCACGCTGCCCTCTCCAGCCCCTCCGCCCCCGGGTTGATCTCCACTCCGTCGGGCTCCGTCCTGTCCTTGTCCGGCTCTGGAGGCAGGGACAGGAAACCCGAGGGGCACCAGGATGCCTCAGGCGGGGCGCTGCCTCAGCCCGTCGCCTGTCACCCCACGCCGACGGCCCTGCTGCCGCTCATACTGCCCGCAGAGTCGCCTCACCCGGTGCCTCGCAAACAGATCATCATGGGTCGCCCGGGCACAGGTAAGAACAGACGGGGAGGTGGGTTGTGTTTGTGTCAGGTGTAAAAAGCTGCTGTCACTCTTTAATGAAAAAAGGCGTGCACTTTTCGTGCACGGACCTCCCTTTCATCACGCCTCCTGCACGACAGCAGGTTCATCAGAGAGCTTTGGGTATGACTCGTGTTTAACTACAGCTTGTAGTGTCAGAAAGCGTTTCATTTGTTTGTTTTGAAGAATTGTTGCTCATTCCTTTGGGCTGCAGACTGTTTTTTATTTTGTCTTTTAAAAAGCTCAGGTTTTCACAAATATACAAAAAAAAGGCTATTTTGTCTGAAGCTCTGCTGAAAGTTTCACCATTTGTAAGCGACAAATATTCAGAGGTGATTTCAGTCCACACCTATCCCAGCTTTATCTTTTCTTTGCAGACTTTGCTCTGTTTCTGAGCCGAGTTGTGTTTTTTACAACTCTTCAGAGATGGGATGCTCCAAGAGTAGTAAATAATGCGATTTGTTTGATCTTATTATAAAGAAAGTGCTTAGAAAACAATGTCTCGGGAGAGTAGTACTACAGGGTTTAATCCTATAAATCTTATATAATTTCTGCATGAGCAGACTGGATGTCAGGACATGATTTAGAGAGGAATGTTTCTAACAGTGAGAAGAATAAAGAATGCATATCGTCTGCCATCTTATAATAAATGATGGCACTGTAGATGTTCCGGTCAAATTTGAATATGACGTTATGTGCGACCCCAAGATCTGTTAATACTTGTATGTGTTGTGAATAACTCTCGGCTGCTACCACGCCAAATTTTAGCTCATTATTTGTAAAACCGGCTGATTTATAGCCATCGTTTATACGTACAATCAGAAATTTTGTTCTGCAAGTTTCATTAAAATGTGTTCAGTGGTTCATGAGATATTTTGCTAACAAACAGCCACGTTTATACACGGACATGCATCATGTTAGTGGGTGGACTGCGTCGTTTCAGTCCGAAGCTGGAGATGGGTTTATATGTGCGATCAGAGGAAACCAGAACTACAGGTTCCTGGGTTCATCGTGTCCTCTGTGCTTGTTTCCATGCCAACTTTGTGATTTGACGGTATGCGCCGGCTCAGGAACATGAATTACTGAGACGCTCCGAGTTGTGTTTGTCGTCCTGATGCAGTCTGAAGGTCTGAAACTAGAACGTGAAAGCGTCTGGAATCGGCAGGGCTGTTGTCTTTTTCACGCAGAGCCGTGACGACGGTGTGAAGACCGTGTGGTTTCACAGTTTACGCTGACATTCGATGGATTGGGACCAGTCGTTTATAATCGACGTTAAACGAGCAGCACAGCTGGTTATGGGCTGCTACCAGATTCTGATGGTAACCTTGAGCATACATGCGTATTAAAATAAAAATGCCATTATCACTGCTGCATTAATAATAATACATTGCTTATTAAATATTATTTTATAGATAAATACAACTTATTATGCAACGGCTCATTTGTTGGTAAATGTGGTTTTTGTGTTACGCCCATGAAAAACTTGCCAAATTTTACCTTCCAGTGCCAAACAACTTTAATTTGCTATTGACTTGTTGGGTCTTTATTGGATTAGATGAGTGAAATCTGAAGAAACGCAACATTTTGTCGTTTTAACAACGTATTAATTTAACAAACAGCAGCCCCAGTAGCATGTGGATGAACCATACACAGCCACACCAGCCTGGCACCTCCTCTTCATGCTGCTTGGTCACACACTGTTGACTTGGTTTAAACCGTTATAAATTTGTTTTACAACAGTCGTCCTGACGTTGACCCTCCTGCTGCGGTCATTTTGACCCCAGGACAGCAGGGGGTTGACCTGTGTCTAATGATAAGAGCCAGAACACCTGAGGAACTTGAGGTCTACTTCTGACAACTGGTTCCAAAGTCTAACAACAAACCAAACCTGCTTTGCTAAATAAATAGATAATTTTAACAACCTCTCCATTTTGGCTAAACGACGGACATGAGGTTTTGATTGACGTTCCTGTGTTTCCTTTTACTCCCGCCTCTAAAACTGCGCTTCTTCAAGGAGAACTTTTGAGACGAGATAAAACCAAACATCTAAACGAAGGGTGCGGTTTAGGATGTGGTGGTTTCGTGCACCACACGCAACGATCTCATTTCTTCTGCTCTACAACAAATAAATACAAATTTTAGATAACCATACCATACCACTTTATTTATAGAGCACCTAAAACAGCGACAAGGCCAACCAAAGTGCTGTACAGACAGAACAACAGGTAACGCACAAAGCAACATACAAATTGAGGTAAATCAGAATATAGACATAAAACGATGCAGATAATGACGACAAACCAGTGTGGAGCGTACAGGATCAAATAACTTGTATTTTCTTAGTTTTACACCTTTTGTTGTTAGTAGAGACTTGACTGACGCTGCTCATGATCCATTAATGCACGATTTAACCATCGCACGCTCGTTTGTTGTTCTCCACTCGAGTTTTATTTCCACGAGTTTCCACTTAGAGGAAAAATTTCATAAGTTATTGTTCTTTTTTGGCTATTTCTAGTTGTTAGCTTTACATCACAGTTAGGGTACATTTTGTAGTGTAAGCTAATAACGGTTGATGCTAAACATAAGATAAAAACTTTATTATTATTATTTATTGATCCCACAGGAAATTTTATTTATTTTTTTAAGTTTCGAACTTTATTGATCCCACAGGAATTTAATTAAATTTTATTTTTTATTTTTTAATTTATTTTTTTAAGATAAGATAGGAACTTTATTGATCCCACAGGAATCTTTATTTTTTTTATTTTAAATTGTTTTTAAGATAAGAACTTTATTGATCCCACAGGAGTAAAAAAAATTAATAAAAGAACTTTATTGAACCCGCATGAATTTAATTTAGTTAATTCTTTTAATGTCTACGTTGTTTGTAAGATAAGATAAGAACTTTATTGATCCCAATGGAAATTGTGTGTGTGTATGTGTATATATTTATATATATTTATATATATATTACATATATATATCACTCTTACTCAAAATCAGTTTACAACCCGGTCCATGAAGCGTAGTTTCGACGTGCTGCAGAGTTCCAAACACATTTTCTGTGTCTGTATACGAGTTGCTCTGGCAACCACCCGAACCTGCTGCTCGCCGTGTGTAATTAGTGACTCGGTGTGTGTAGTGCCACTTATCCAGAGTGCTTGTGAGTGTGTGAGTATGCATGGCGGGGGGTGTACTTCTTCATGTAGGAGAGAAGAGGTGCATCGGTGAAACTTTTAAAGCCTACGAGTATTGACTCGTCTGACACGGAGCCACGGACGCGCTCGTTCCAGACCATCAGCTGCTTCAGACGGGGCATGGAGGGCAGCTCCGCCGTGATGTGAACGTGTTCGGCCGCTCTCAGCGGGGGAATAAAAAGGCGTGTTGTCATGGATACGCTGCTCGCCAGTAGAATTAGTTCAGTAAATCGTTCAGGCTTGGGCTGATTACCGGTGCGTTTGCCCATTTTTTATTTAATTTTATTCTCTTTCTCTGCCCGTCACATCCCTCGGCTCGGCCCACTGATGACGGCCACCTGCCTCCATATTGTAACACTTCCTCTGCCGTGCATTTTTTACCTGAGATCTCATCTAATCAGCTCCAGTTCAGCTGCTCTCACAGCTTCACATGTTTCACTACGGTCTTAACGTCCGTCTGCGGGCCGCCGTGACAGTAAAAGTGTGCACTTTAGTGGCTTTTTATTTTTGCACCTACATGCAGGATTATTGAGAAGGTTTTGTTGAAGCTTACAGTTGTTCAGCATTGTTCTGGTTTCTCAAAGCACGAGTTTTTATAACACGACAGTTGACACTTCTAATGTTTTTAACATGTTCTCACGACTATAACTTGACCAGATTATTCCCGTTGTGACTTTTATCTCGTGGTTAAAATGTGCCGTTAGGTGTTGATATAAAAAAACTACTTAATTAGTAAGCTGCATAACTTTTTAAAAAGACGTAGTTCTTAGGAGGCCTTTGCAAACATGCTATCTGGTCTCCAAAATGAAGTTTTAAGTGCAAGATATTTTTATTTCCTTTTGCTTAAAAACAGAGCTTACTTTATTTAGTGCATACTTCTCATGATGTTTAGCCGATGTGGAAGCCCAAAGAAATGTGATTTTAATTTCAGTTTGTAATTTTGATGTGAAAAGAAGAACAGAGAACGTGAAATAAGACCAGTCAAACTCTTGACGAGGAACTTGCAACCAAGAAAAGATTCTGGTTTTTGACTGGAGGTAATGGATTGATTGAAATTAGGTCTCGGTTTAAACCAAGTTTTTAATTTTGGCATTTTGTGTAACTGAATTTGACTACAACTACCTCGACAATCATAAAGTGAATTCAGCTAGAGTATAGCTGTATACTTGGGAAACAAAATGGTGATGTCATGGTGAGTTTGTTCTGATTGTTTTAGAGCTGCTTGGACCCTCTGTGATCACCGTAAAACACGCCGTTTAACTCACAGAGCAACCAGCCTAAACATATCCTGTACTGTTGTCACGGGGGATCCATTCCGTACCCTCAAGACCCGCAATAAATGGAAAACCACCAAGTAGGAATAGTAGAACAAGTAGTAAGTAGTAGTTTATTTTAGTATTTATATATCTTTTTATATATATATTAAGGTGTTTTAAACCCTTCACACTTGCAAATATTCTAAACAATGTTTTTAAACTAAAGCTCTAAAAGAGCACAGAATGTCATGATTTCAGCTCTCTGTGTTCGGCTGCTCTCAGCCACCTGCAAACACTCTTGGCCACTCCCACTTCTCTGCTCTGCACGGTGAACAGCTGATCAGCTGCAGGAGGAAGCTTATCCTGCAGTATGGGCTGCACAGAGGTGCAGCAGGTGCTAAATAATTTAAAATTTATTTTAAATAAAACCCATGCCGATCGTGTGGCTCGTCCATCAATCAGCCAGTTGTCATGTCCACTCTTATTTTGAAAAACCGGATAGAGTAAGTCCTGATAAACGAAGCGCTAAGTAGCGAGGGACTACTCTTCATATAACGAAACCGTTTTGTGCACGTTTATTTATCGCATATTGCATCAGTTGGGTAAATGGGCTAATTTAAATTTATTTAAATATAACTCCAAATAAACAGCCTTTCTGAGTTTCATTCATATCTGTCCAGTGGCTCATAACAGACGGAGTTTACTCCGACAGTTCAAGTTTTGAGCAAAGCTCTTGTGCTGTCTGTTAGCCCTCAGAGTGTGTGTTAGTGGTGACTCTCAGCTACAACCACAACAAACTTAAGGACAACATCTATAAAATGAGGATGACTTTTATATTTTCTTTTGTTCAGAATTTATAGATTTTTTTTATTTTTTACACACTTGTTTGTTGTCCCCATCACGGAGCAAAAAGGGAGTATTGGAAATACTGTCCATCTGTGCGTGCGTGTGTGTTGTGAGCGCGATAACTTGAACAATACGTGTGGTGCCCACTGCCATTTTGGTTTGTGGCTGCATCTAGGTGTACTGATCGAAAACTGGGTTGCCATGTAAAAATAAAAGATGGCCGCCACCATATATATGTAAACCTTGTGAGGTGGCTAACTTGCAAAATAAGCAACGGGCCAACTTCCATTTTGGTTTGTGGCTGCAAGTAAGAAAGGTTCCTTTTGAAAATGGGGTTTCCACTTCAAAATTCAAGATGGCCGTCTATAAATAAGTGGTCACCCCAATCGTTTGAGGAAACTCTGCTTTTTTTGTTTTTTTATATTGCCTAAAAGTGTAGTTTCCTCAAATGATTGTGGTGGCCAAAAATAAATCTGTGGTGGGCAAGGCCACCGTTGGCCACCCCATGGCGCCTGGTCGTTGATAAAATTGCTCCCTCCACTTACCAGACTCTGTTGCTGCCTCGGACATGAAAAATAAATCTACCTGTGTTTTTTTTATACACACCTGAATATCTTGCACCAAAAACCATTAAGGTTCACTTTCGTTCTCTGTTCAGTTCCAGTCCATAAAAACACTCGTCTCTAAAACTACAAACATTCACTATTCAAACCCCTCGGTGACGCAGACATCGGTGACTGCTTGTTCACAGTGAAGCTAAAGGTGATGCCTTCTCACGAGTAACATTTTGTTGCCAGGTGTTAGCTGTTAGCAAGCTTAAGAGCTTAAACACAAAGTACTTTTTAAGACTGTGCAGATTATTGTACATTCTTCTAGTGTATACATTTTTACAAATACTCCAGGCTGATGCCATGGGGGAGCCCATCCTGTAATAAATGTGTTTGTGGTAGATCCATAATAAATCTGCCCACAACAAAAATAATCAGGAGGAAGCAGTGAAGTGTGATCAGGACACACTCGTTTGCAGTAAATCCTCAGGAGAATTACTTCCTTTACTCACTCAGACTCATTCTGACAGTTTCCGTGTAGCTTCAGCGCTGTGGGTGGATGCAGCTGAAAGTGTCGAGTCTGCACTTCCACCGGGTCACATTCAGACACTCGTGCATCTTCAGAGCCGCGATGGTTTACGGCCGTGTTTATCCATAAATACCATTAAAAACTGCTCCCTGCCGTACTCCTCGTTTAGATTGTTCTGTTCATCGTCGTCAGTTTTGTCCACCTGGAAACAGACGAATCATTTATTGTGGAAATGCTGAGTCAGCGTTCCCACCATTGTTTTACCGTTATATTTTTATTTTTCTCTACAGTTTAAAAAAAAAAAAAATCCAACTACTTCTGTGTACTTTCTGTTTTTAGCTATTTATACATTTATGCAGCAGAGAATTCAGCTCGTTCAGGAGATGAGTTTTATGACTCTTGTTTTTGTAACTTTTATACTTTGAAAATGTGTAACTTTATAAATATTATTTTCCTCATAAAAATACATGGAGATTTCTTCAAACTGGAGATATTGTTACCTTTAAAATCTGCTTCAACAAACTGGCTCTGTTTTTGTTTTCTTATGCTACTTTGTTTTTAGCTAGCCCTTTGCTACCTTTGGCTATTGTTTTTGTGCTTTTAGCTTGCCCTTTGCTACCTTTAGCTATTGTTTTTGTGCTTTTTGCTTGCCCTTTGATACTTACAGCTTTAGCTAGCATTTTGCTACTTTTACCTGTTTTTTTGTGCTTTTTAACTAGCACTTCATTGCTTTTAACTACCGGTACTATTATGGTGCTTTTAGCTAACCTTTGCTACTTTTAGCTTTAGCTAGCTTTTTGCCACTTTTACCTACTGTTATTGTGCTTTTAGCTATCCATTTGCTGCGTTTAGCTTTAGCTATCCTTTGCAATTTTTTCCCTTTTACCTACTATTTTAGCATTTTTAGCTCGAAGCTATGCTTTTGCTACTTTTACCTTCTGTATTATGCTTTTGTCTAGCTCTTTGCTACTTTTAACTTTTTAACTACCATTTGCTACTTTTAGCTAGCCTTTAGCTTCTTTTCAATTTTAGTTAACATTTTGATGCTTTAGGTTTTAGATAGCGTCTTGCTACTTATAACTTTTATTTAGACTTTTATTACAGTTTATATTAGCATTTTGCTTTTATTTTTGAGCTAACCTTATGATATAACTGCATACGATATAACTAGCCTTTAGCTACTTTTAGATTTTCTCTATTCTGCTTTTAACTATCACTGGATATGTTAGCTTTCAGTTAGCATGATGCTACGTATATAATTTAGTTCACTTTGGTTGCGTTTAGTTTATATTAGCCTTTTACAGCTTTTAATATGTAGCTAACCTTAATACATTTAGCTAGTCCTTTGCTACTTATAGCTTCTCTCTAACCTTTTGCTGCTTTTAGCTAGCTTTTGCTGTTTTTGGATGGGCTTTTGCTACTTCTAGTTTTAGGCTCACGTTTTGTAACTTTTAGCTTTTAGCCATTGTTCCGATTTTAGCTTTAACTACTCAGATTCCACCTCTTCAACAATTTCCACCAAGTCATTCAACTCAGCGTTCACACTATTTTCAGAGGAAATGTTATTTATGTTTATTATTTCTTCCCAGATTAAAGACTTAACAGAAATGTCTGTAAACAAATATGGTAACGCTAAAAACAAGGAAGCTTTCTTTACAAACTCTCTGACTGCTTCAATATTATTGATTTTTGAACTTCTGTTGTTTATGCTTAGCATTCTTTCTAAATCTATTTTTTAAGTTTCTCCTTTTTGTTCCATATAAAACTGAAAAAACAAAAACAAAAAAAAGAGTTATAAACCAGTGTTGAGTGCTGGTGAAGTATGTAGGGGTACCAAGAAACCTTAACGAGGTTATTTTTTATTAAAAATCTTGCATTGTTTTATACTTGGTGTTTATTTAGTTTTATAATTGTTGCATTTACAAATAATAAGAGCAGATGAGAAAAGACTTATTTGTTGTCCTGATGCAGGCTCAATAATCCAGGTGCAACCGTCTGGGCACTAACGGTCAATCGTTTGGTCCATGGTCCTCGTTTTGCATGTCCAAAAAGATTTGTTTTAAATTTTCCAAATGCTTCTTTTTGTACACCACAAATACTGCTTTGTATGCCAGCCGGGCTTTCCTGAATGAGTTTTACCTGAACAATAAATACATATTTTTATGGAAGCTAGCCCTCCTGTTGTAGTAAAGAGAACAACAATCTGTGACCAATCATTTATCAGTTCGACATGTTATTTAGGTTGGACTTGTTCTTTTTTCAGCAGTAGTGTTGTACTCGTTGTTTATCTTGGCCGCGGTTACCTCGGCTCTAAATCAAGTTTGTTTATGTTGCGTAAAAACCCGTTGCTACGACAATCAAGTGCTTCGACTCTGTTGTAAGAAAGTATCAGCTGATATGTCTGAAACTAGTCGATAACAAGCTTACGAGCTGACGCAGCGAGGCTGACGTTGACCTCAGACCCATCTGTGTGTGCAGCTTTCTACACGATGGGGAGCGTTAGCGGTGCGGCCCGCCTATAAATAAAACAAAAGGCAACTTTCTGCGTGTGAAGGGTTGGAGCAGGCTCCACTTCCTCAGCTGAAGTTCCTCATGCAGTAGTAAACACTGCCTGAAAGTAGAACAGAGTGCAAAGGTTGTGATAATCAGCTGAATCAGCATTTTAAAAGAGCTTTTCTGTTCGCTGTACAACCATTTGCATTTTCCTTCCGCTCTGCCGGAGCTCTATCTGGATCTCCATAATGGTTTGCTATAAATGGACCGTTTTAATTTTTTATTAGCAAATTATTAATAGAAAGTGAAAAATTTAGATCTGCAGCATGGAGTTCAGAGGCTGTCTCCACCATGAGCTAAATTTGTGCTAAAAGTAGCAAAATGCTTGCCAAGAGTAGCAAAAACTAGCTAAATTTCAATCTAAGTGATAGCTAGCTGTAAGCTAAAGTAGCAAGACTCTGAAGCCTAAAATAGCTGAAGTAGCAAAACAAAAGCCTAAAGTAGAAAAACTAATTTAAAGTAGCAAAACATCAACTAAAAGTACGTAAACACAAGCTAAAAGAAGCAAAATTCTAACTAACAGTAGCAAAATGCTAGCTCAAAGCAGCAAGCAACTAGCTAAGCTTTAATCTAATTGCTAGCTATAA